CCTCTAGTAATATATTTACCGAGAAAAATGTTGACGTGTTCAATACTTATTTTACCCGCTGTATAATAAATGACGTGACGAGGTAAGAGGGTTGGGTTTTGGCAACAAGTGTGTTGCCAAAAAGCTGTTAATTCAAAGTCATGCTTGAAGTATTTTTCCTGTCATCATGGCTTGTTTGTCACAGGATCAGCTGATCTGATTCTGTTGCTGGGTCAACACGGTGTTTCTCCAGCAGCTGGTAGAGCTCTGCATCCAGGGTCCTTTTTCAGAACCTCAACAGCTGATTTACTTACAAGTGCATGACTTTGTTAATGTAAGTACGGTACTGTAAAACAATCCCAATGAAACTAAAARTGTGTACTGCTTCAGGGATCCCCCCTGATGCTTATCTCTGCCTCGTGAACTGGGCTGCGTTGGTGGTCTCTGAGGTAACGGCATCAGTGGTTACTGGAAATGACAAGAGTACTCAGGACGACTGATTCAAGTGCTTTTATCTGTGCTCGTGCATCAAGTTGAGCACCGTGTGCCCACGAGAGCTTACCTCACTCCGTTTCATGAACACCTCTCGACACGGGAAAAGATTCACTCCATGGTGATTCATGATACAACAGTATTGYGCTCCTGGTTGTGATGGAGCACCACTCGAGCTCTGGGTGTTGTTCACTTTGCACCATTTCGGGTTCCAAAAATGACATGTATTTTTTTGAACTGTGTAAAAAAATATGCTAAGTGGAAAGGGAACTCTACCATGTGAGGCAGTATCAAGTCAGAGTAYTGTATATTTAGTTAAAGCTGCTCGCGACACGATGAGGAAAGCACCAAACTGACTTCGGTTCAAGAAATAACAGTTTCCAAAATAAAAAGAGATATTTAGTCTTCATGAAGTAGACCTAAATGGCTTTAAATAGCTGTGTTTTTGTTAGAGGAAGAGCACACCAGCCTCAAACCAGTGTCTCATGTGGGTAAACAGTGCAGTTGCCATGTTGATGGGCGTCAGTGTATTAATAGCATGGGTGTTGTTCTGACTACTCTTAAGAGAAGCCATCAGTTATAAAGGTTTGTATCCCTTTAAGACTATTTTTTTCATTTTTTTTTTTTGCTATTTCAAAATTTAGATTTCAATTATTTAATATAAAAATTTCATATAACTTTGTTTCAGAAATCCTTATTTAATGAAATAACACTGTTGAAATTAGAGGTCAACTGGTTATGACTCTTTTATAGATGCAGTTTATCTGGATTCAGTTGGTTTACGACAATTTCTTTGGTTGGTTTATTCTTATAGATGCATTTCAATTTTTGCAATTWGCTAGATTTTAAAAAAGTTGACCAGTCTGTGGATCAGTTCACATTCTCTCCTGTCATAAAGTTCATTAAAGGCTTGCAATAAAAGCAGTTTCAAATGTAACTTTATCATATTTCTCTTTTAGTAGTAATTTCTGCCTAACCAAATTACTATGAAAGTTCTGAAAGATAAAAAATTAAGGTCATAGCATTTGTAACCAAATACGAGAGATTATTTTAAGTTAACAATATTCTTTTTGGGGACAATGCTGTAAAATGCATGCCTGTTGCATTGACAGAAGATTATTAAAAAAAAGGTCAAAAATCTAATTCATCGGCTAACTCATCARTCAGTCTACCTCTGATTTTAACTACATGAAATAATTATTAGCAGAGAAAAAAAATAAAAGTAGTCAATTTCTTTGAAAAATCCAGTCAGGTAAACAATGCTGCTTATATGTAGGAGTGGAAATTAAACAAGTTCKTTGTGTTTCTTTGTTTCCCTCTATGGTGACTGGCGAAGACAGGCGGATGTGAACTCTCATCTGAGACGTTTCCCTTCTGTTGCTGAAAAGATCCAGATTTCCCATCAGGAACAGCAGCTGGCTCCGCCTCCTCCACGCCCCCACAGAGAACAGCTCCTCTGACTCCTCTGCTCAGGTGAGCATCAGGAGCGGCATCAGAAGGAGGTGCTTGTTGTCAGAAACTCTGCTGACAAGCTCTCCTAGGACGCTGGTCTGACATGAAATCTTTTAGCTTTCAAACGCTGTCAGGGCGCTGCTCTTTAATTTAAAGGGGGATGTACACTTTTATGTCAGAGCACTTTGTAACTGGTATGGAATAGCAGATTGGTGAAACATTCTCAGAGTTAGTAATAAAAACGAGTTTATTTATTTATTGACAAGAAAAACATTTTTATTTTAATTTTTTTTGTGGAGAAACTTTGTTTCTTCGAACCGTCGCTGCGCTTCAATGTCTCTCGACTCAAACAGACGTTCTGTCTGACTTCAATCCCAGATCCTTCTCCTTCCACCCATTATCTCTCTGAACTAGCCACTCCATCACCACCCTCCGTCGCATCTATTGCGACTTCTCCGTCAGTCCTTTATCTCCGTTTCACCAGCTGCACGTCGAAGCTCATTCCCTCCTCGGAGAGTTTGCAACAATAAAAGGGTTCGCTTAAAGAAAAAAGAAAAAGTGAGGAATCCCTTTTTTTAAGTCTCAGTGAAGCCCTCCTCTTTACGTCTTGTTTTTTTTAAAAGAACAGACCCATTCCAAGAAAGAACATTTCAAAACATGAAACTTAAGAATTTTTAAATAGTTTTTTGTTTATTACCCTTCGGCTGCACTCAGGGAGTTGCTTTCTAACGCTGCAAACATGTTCTGCAGTGCAGACTAATTATTACTTTTATAAATTAATTTTGTAGCGAAAATGGGTTTAACCCCTTGAGAAAAAGCGTAAAGATGAGGTTTAGATGAAACAAAAGGAGATATTTAGATGAAAATTGTTACCCTGGTGATATTAGTCCTCTGCAGTTCCTTCTTTCCTCCACCTTCCTTCAGCCGTCAATCTCGCTGGATGGAAATTACACATCTTTACTCCCTGCTGCTTTCTTCTGTCTTCTTTTCGTTACATTCACAGTTGACAAGTGCCTTTCTCTGAGCAAAGAAATCCTCAGAAATGAGCAGACGGAGGCCTGAATATAAACTCACGGTGGCTTTGGGAGCACAATAGTTGGTGGAGTAAACATAAACGATGGATTAAAAGTCGGATTCTGCAGCATAATTCTAAAACTTGCAGTTTCTGTGTAAAACAGCATAAGGTGTTTCCTTTTGATCCATGTTTTAAGATATAAAAAGAGACGCCACAAGGATTCAGAGCGTATTTTCTGGCATGTTTTTGTGCTTTCAACGGGAAGATGACCTCGAGCTCAGTAGTACGTCTGAACACCACCTGTGTGGACACAGATGGAGCTGCTGCTGCTTCAGACATGCTGCTCACACCACTCACAAACACTCAATCTGCTGCCGAGTAACGCTGAATGTTCGGCCAAACACTGCCCAATCATACACTAAGGAGTGGGCATGTTAGGCCAAAACATTCAACAAATTTGTCAAACAAATATTAATTTAAAAAGATATCTTTTGAATATTCAAGAAACACTTTGAATCTTTAATTTCAGAGCTGATCCCTTATCTGTTGTTGGAGCATATTTATGCTTATAGGGGTGTAAGAAAATATCGATACACTGAAATATTGCGATATTTCGTTTCTTGATACTGTTCTCAAGCACTGTATCCACTTCTCTTTAAGGCTTAACAGAACAAAGTTAACAGAAGGAAAGTGAAACTCAAACAGTGTTCTTCTGCCTTCATAACAATAAACTGAATTTAATCAGATTTTATGCAAGTAATGCATTGTATGCTCTTTACACTGAGATTAAAAAAGGATTATTTGGCCTGAGATCTTTAGGATCTTTTTGTGTTTAAGATTGCATTCCACTACCATCTTAAAAAACACCAGAGGAGAGTCTAGCTGTGTTTCACAGAATGGCAAAATCAGTTAAGGTTATTTTTATGTTATTTTTTTTACTTGATTTGTCTGTAATTAGCTAAGAATCATTATATTTTAATGTATGAGTGTGAAGTAGGTGAGTAAATCACCAGCTTTATCACAATGTGATATATCAATTAGTTTGGATGATGATGCAAACTAATTCGTATCACTAAGTCATAATACGAATTTAATTTAATTCAATTCATGATTCTGCAATTGATATGATGCAATATTTTGATCCACATCAGGCATATAATGATAATATGAATCGATGTTTTCATGATGTAATTGAATAATTTAATTGATAAATCGACGTGGATCAGTTGTTACCACTATTGTGTAATATTTGACCAGTTTCTATGTCTTCATGGTTTTCTGGATATACCTGATACTTTATTCAGTAAAAACAGCTTATTGAATATGTTGAGCAATATTTGTAGTAGAATTTTAACAAAGTATTTATCGTTTTGGGGTTWAAGTATATTAAAAAGCTTCATGTAAGCTGAAACAAAAGATCAAAGATTCATTTTTGTTCTTGATAAAGTCTTGTTGTTTGCAGATGCAGCTTGTTGCCTTAAAGTCTCATAAATAATAGTTATAATTTTTTAAAATCACCCTTTTGTTACTTTAAATTTGGGCTCTAACGTGCCTGTTGTATTCCTCTCCTCCAAAGCTTGTTTGCATGAAAAAAGAAAAAAGCCAGACTTTGATTTTGTTCTCAGAGGTTATATTTTTTTGTGCCGACAGAAAGAGCTAAGCTTGCACGGGAAGAACCTGACAACTTTGTAGGAATTCAGTTGTTTCTAAGAGATTTCTTTTTTCACCTCACGTGCCAAGACTTGATGCAGCCTGCAGCCAYGGCTCACACTGATGGCAGGGTTGTCACATCACTAATTAACCYAGAGATGCTTTCTATAATAAAGCTATCAGGTGCTGTTAGGCATTTGGCAGTGCTGCTGGTTTTAGTCCTTAAACAAATGCTTCATTTCAAAGTGTTTGTTTATCTGTATATATGTATATAAACATATATTTTTTTCTTGGAAGTCCTGAGTGTTTTGGTTGTAGGCCAACACACACAAACAGTAGATAAMGTTTTTCAAGTTCATCTCGTGCATCATTTTTAGTCAAATATCACAGATTAATCAATTAAATCTACTCTGCGTCTATTTCTCTGTTTTATTTTTGGCACCTTGTTGACTTTTTACATTTTTTTGAAGTGGGTGGGTAACATACCCTGAGGAAACGGAGAGGTCGCCTCTTTGTTTGTGGATTTTCCCTTCTTGGTTTTCTTGTAATAGCTGCCCTCGGCTTTATTTGATCTGGGTCCCTGCTCCCGCCATACGGCTAAACCGGGTTATGAGAAAACAGAAAGAACATGCTGTCACATTTACACAAATCAGAGACTTTCAACTGACACAAACCCATGTCAAGTTGTACGGATTGTCCGTAAATTACACAGATTTTACCCCATTTTGCAGTTATACGAACGTAYCGGGCTATTTCATGGGATTTTATCAAAGACTCAGCTTCAAATTTATTTTAGGTTTCAGAGCCTGTAGGAAGTAAAAAAAGAATAAAATTAAATAACCACCTCCCAACTTGCTCTTCCACTAAAGAAATAGGTTTGCCACCTGTTCCCTGCACCTCTGTGCTGCAGTCCACTTGTCCCCCTGCCCACCCTCTGTTGGATCGCATGTAACTAATACAGATTTTTTTGTGAAAATAACATATTTTTGATGGTTAAGATGTAGGTAAATGTCCAAAAGGGTTGATGTGTATGAAAACCAAAGAGGGAGGATAGACAAACAGGAAGAGAGGGAGGAAGAAGAGGGACTGAAAGAAAAGTTCAGTATTAAGTTTGGGAAGGTGTTGAGAGAGGGAAGAATGCAACGAGTCTACATAAACATAATTTCATTGAAACAACTAGGGTATTACGTCATTGTTATGTTGAATCAAATAAAAAGACAGGTCAGTTTGCAGTTTGTTGAGACGATGTAATAAAAACACGAGTTTCAACATTTAATTTTTTTCTTGGAGGCCCCCCTCCGGTTCACTGTCGAGCCACAAGTCTGCAACCATGCAGTCTGACACAGACACATTTTGGCTGACTCGGCACACTAAAGAGTTTGTTAATTACCTTATCCGGTGTCTGCGAGTTCATCCACTCYGCTGGCTGAGTGACAAAAAGGAAAAGAGTGGAGGTAGACAAAGAAGCTCTGGAGAATGAATGAAATAGTCAGACGTCCTTAAATGCGACAGAACGCGGGGAAAAAAGAGCTCAGTGAAGAYTTTTAATAGCCAAGGCCGTTTGAAACTTGTAAAGATGAACAAAAGTGTATTTTACTAATACACGTGAATTAGAATATTTTTTCCTCGTGATTGTAAATCTCTGAACATTTGCATCACATCAACTTTTATTTGCCACTTTATTTAAGAACAGTCACTAAGAAACTGACAGGTCTTAGACATATTTTTTGTCTTGTCACGAGTGAGCTTATCTGAGTGATACACACACAACTTGAAACTGTGTTTAAGTTTGTGCAACAATTAAAAGTCACTTAAATCAGTGAGGAATGTACGTAGCTCCAGGCATGGAAAAACCTGTCGCTGTGGGTCATTTCTAATGAACCATGCTAGCAGGTTCTGAGTGTGTAAAACTGTTTACAGAGTGTTGTATTGTTCTAAGCACAGGGTAATATACTAAAGAGCAGATAAATATGTGTTTAAGGAAAGTTAAATGACAATTTTCTTACTTTTTAGGTGCTGTAATTCATAAAATGAATGATTTACTGTATGAACCTGTTATGACTCCACATTTGGACCCAGTTTTGTCACACTTTTCTCCAGCTTCACAGCATTAAGCAGTGACTAATGACGGCTGACATCATCTCCGCCTATGCTAGGTCCCGACTAATTGGCTAGAGCAGTCTGACTGCATTAGATATTATTCCTTTAGGGTATTCCCTGTCCTCCGCCTCCACTTTGAAAGATAACCCTCATTGTTTGCATGAAGCAACAAATTGCTTTTGTGAAGGATTTTTTTCTTTCTTTTTTGTATTCATAACAGGTCGAGACAAACGACATTCGTTGTAAGCTGTTTGTG